GGTTGAGGGTTTAGGGTTTGGGGTTTGGGCTATTTGGTTTCCAACTTTTTGGAGTTTACAATAAACCTCTGAACCCTGCAGCCAATACAGTCGCAACATGGCACCCCTTTCCCTCCGCAGGACTGCTACATGACACCGTTCGGATCTGATGGCGCCGCTCTTGGTAGACTCTGCTACAGAGGGGAGTGGGGAGGGCTGGCATTGTGTTTAGAGTTTGGGGTGCCACCTGTTATTTCATTTTGTGAAAGGGTTGGTTTGGATAGCTAGGATTTCAATATGCTCAACCCTAACACCCTAACCCCTAAGCCTTAAGTGAGTGGGAGGCTGCAGCTGCGAACAAGGGGAGACCTGTCCAACGGAAGTTCTGAGTCACTGAGTCTGGGGTTGAGGAAGTAGTGTTTCGCTATTCCCTTGCTTCCTTATAGCGATCTTTTCTATATCAATTACATGCTCCAAAACTCTGTTCTGAGTTGTACCTATTAAGTCCCCAAACCCTAACCCCCAACCCCAAATCATCATCGTCCGCGCGCCTCACGCCCAGCAAAAGCCCAGCCATTGCATAGGGGTCTGTACTACCGCAAAACCCTATTCAAAGTATTCCGGCCTCCACATTGGAGATGAGACTTCCTGATTTCTTTACTGTTCAGGGGGCGATTCGTGGTAATTGTTATGGGGCCTTTTCGGTGCGGTTTCGTCGTAAGGGTACTGCCATGCTTCTTGGGGCCTTACTGGTACAGGCACCCCAAAACCTGCAAGCAAGCTCAAGCCTAAATCCTAAACCCTAAATCCTAAACCCTAAACCCTAAACCCTTAACCCTTAAACCCTAACTAAATCCTCCGCGCAAGCCCTGAAGCCGCCGAGACCTGAACCCCAAACCAAAAATCCTCCTCCAGGCCCTTCCGGGGTTTTCAAGTTGAGGATCAAGGAAACTGAAACATGTGGCCTAGCTCTTCATGGTATAGAGCTGGTAGAGGATACTTGCAGCGACTTTCCTGCTTGCGCGTACTATTGCGCATCGTAAACTCGAGGCCATGTAATTATGAACCCTATGACATTTCTGATGTTACGTATCTGCTTGGCTTGGAGCTCATGGGATGAGTAACCCTGAATTTGCTTTTAGAGAATAGGGTTTCGGGGTTTTGTAGGTGTTCCTTTGATTGTTCCTATGGGCTGTAGACGGGCTGTACACGGGGGTTTAGGGTTCCAGGCTTATGGCTTATCAACGCGAGTGTACGTAGGGCTGGGTGAGAAGCTGGTGAGCACGTTTGGGGGTTGCATTGCGCGGAGACTTGTAATAAGAACCCCGTGTAGTTTATCCTAAACCGCCCCTAAACCCGACACTTTGAAGCTTTACACATGCCACATGAAAAAGTACTGTGAGGCTTGCCTGACTGGGATTTGGCCCACAATCAGACATGCCACCCGATTGACCAGTGCGGCTCTCAGTCTCTTTGCTACCACGGCTGCCATGCCCCTGCCCCTTATAGTAAGTAACCCTTACGGTGCCCTTGTAGAGACCTTCAAAATGACCCCCTACTGGTACCTTTAAGCTATCAGAACATCATCCTCCTGCAACCCTTACAGTATACCGGTCCTGCAAGTAACCCCTGATAGTTCCTTGTACTTCCTCCTTGTACTTCCTCAGCAAGCCGAGCCTTCATTGCGTTCTCGGACCGTGCGTCTTTGGGATGCCCGTTTATGGGTCTCTTAGAGCTTGATGGCCCTCAGCCCTAAACCCTGAACCGTAGCTTTAGGGTTCAGCAGAGTGTAGAAGGTTTTGGAAGGGTTTGGCAGGCTTGAGCAAGGACGAAGTGACCAAGCTCCGAAAACGATGATTTCAGGGTTTGTGTATACCCTAGGGCTCCATAGTAGTTCCTTTTTGTGGTTCATATATAGCACCCTATAAGGTAATCCCGAAAAGGAACTACTATGGAGCCTATGGGTAGTGTATATGGGTTTGGGGATTAGAGTGCAGTGTTTAGGGGACAGCAGCTGCTCGTTTCTTGCAGGAATCTGCTGCAACGCCTCATGAATGAAATCATGAAGCCTATTAGCCGAAAAGTTCAGAAGCCCAAACCCCAAACCGTGAACGTGAACCCTAATCCTCTAAGCCCTTCAGTTTTTTGGGGCTTGCTTCTTGTTGGGTATCGGTTCGCGGATAGCAACTCCCAAGCCAAGAAGCCCGACGCTACATGGTCAGGTTCTTCACACCCTCGCGGTCACAGAGGCGAAACAGGTCGTTAAGAACCCGGGGTTTGGGGTTTTGGGGTTTCAGGGGTTCAGGATTTATAAGGTCACCGTGAACCCTTAAGCCCAAAGCCTTGATTCAAGGTTGGAAGTCTGGGCCCCTAATGTGGACCTTTACTTAGGCTTCTCAAGGATCTTCTAGAACCCTAAACCCTTAACCCTTTGAGGCCACAGCAGGGTTTAGGGATAGTTACCAGGTTCAGGGTGGAGCTAGAAGCCAGACTTGTTCAACACAGCCAAGGTCGTGCCCCTGCCATCCAGACCATGAGGAGCTCTGTCCGACGGCCCAGGGTTTCGGGTTTTCTTGAGTTGCCAGTTGTGAAGATGAGGTGCGTAGTCCTCTACAGTAGGGTCCCTTTTGGCATCCTTGTCTAGGATGCAGAGTAGTACCCTTATTCCCTTTTGTAGTCCTAGGTTCCTTATAAGGGTACCCAATACAAAGAAGGGATCCCTTTGTATTCCTAGGTTACTGGGCATCCTAGTTTTTAGGGTGCCCTAATTATTTGGGGACCCCAAAGAGACCCTGGTTCAGAGAACTAGCCAGCTTCCCCCCACAAATCAGCCAGGTCTTTGTCCCAAACCCTTGATTGCCTCCTGATATTTCCCTGTTATCCTTCCCTTAGTCTGTCCACGAAAGTCTTTTAATTAGTCGGGTCAATGTAGTTCCTGCATATTCCCAAATTCGAATTAGTTGCCTTACAGTATGCAGACTGGTGCGAGAGTGAGCTTGTGTGTTTGCATGCACTGCCCGCTGGGTTGCCAGGTTGATTTCGGGAGTTACAGGCACGGGTTTTGCTGCGCCATGATGTCGTCGAGGCTGCGCAAGTAAGGAAGGACGTGAGAGTGTGGGTTTGTTCCTGAACCCTATAGACCCCTAGAGTTGGATAGGCTGCTCTGTTCTGAGTGTCAGAGTGAAGCTGAGTGGGCTGCCGTGAAGACAGTCCCAAAGCCCAACTTGAAAGACAAAGCCTGTTTAGTAAGGCTGTCTGAGACTCCGAGAATGCACTCGGGCTGACAAGGTAACAGCAAGCTTCGGCATGCAATCTTTTCAGGTTTTTGTTCCGGGTGCATTTCATTTGCAGAATGCAACCAAGACAACCTCATTCTTGCTTTCAGCACCCATGAGATAAGCTAAGCTTCATGATTAACCATGCTGTTCAGTGGTACAGTTTTTTACTTTCATGTTTCTGGGTTCCTATTATAAAACAAAGAAGCCTAAAAAAGTAATAGTGATTTTCCCGTGGGTTTCTGAACAGCCTAGTTAATTAGCCTTAGAGCTCCGAACCACAGCCGTGAACCCTAAGGGTCGCGAGCATTTCAGGTCACGACAATTGGGGCACTTGGTGCCAGATCAAAGCTTACGGGTCTTGCCCTGTGCAGCTTGCCTGAATCCTATTTGCAGGGTTTAGGATTTAGGGCTTTAGGGTTTAGGGGAAGGACCGAGGGATGTAGTAAGTAGGCTTAAAAGCTATACGCAAGGGTTCAGGGCTTAGGGTCATACTCACTAACCACATGATTTCGGTTTGGACCCTGCTCAGGCTACCTTTATCAGCATCATGTACCAGAATGAGTAGGTTTTCCAGGGTTCAGGGAGACGTTGTGGCCTGAAATCCTCTTGCAGCTTTGCCTGTGCATTCCAAGCCCTATGACCCGAGCCTATGGACAAAAACAGCAGGGGAGCCCTCAACAACCCTCGAACAACAGCCCACATATAAACCTACATCGAGGCCTTCTAAAACCTTTTCAGAACCCTCATACAGAGCCCGGGTGTCCTGCCCAAGGCACTGCACCACAGATCAGCCTCTTGACAAGCACATCTCCGGAGTTGTGCTGGTGGAGAGTTTATATGGGTGGTTGTCAAAATTAGGGTTCCTTTTTGGGTCCTTATTATTTAGGGTTCCCCGACAAGGGACCATAATTTCGAGAACCACCCATATAGTTTAGAAGCTGCCCCCACCCTGTACTAGTGGTATAATAGGAATATAATAGGGCCCTAATATAATCCTATATAATCCTTATGGTCACTATTACAGGGTGGGGGCAGCTTGCGACATATACCCTAAACCCTAAACCCTAAACCGTTATAGTGGGTTCTCAGTTCCAGGCTCCTCACTCAACTCCTCGGGCCTTCTTGGTGGATGTACTGACAGCTGATCCTGCTGATGGACAAAATCCTGCACTACCCTTTATAAGGAATATACCATAGTTCGCATAGTTTAGAGTCCTTAGGGTCAGGCAGGATTTTGTCCATCAGCAGTAGTTCCGAAGAGCCGGAAGGTTGAGCTTTAGATTCGCACCTTGTTTCCTCAGTCTTGTTGGGGATTTTGTTTGCATTTTTCAGCAAACTCCAGGGGTTTGTTCACAAACATCTTTTCGCACTGAGCTTATGAATCTAGACCCGTGTTTAATACACCGGCCATGCCGGAAAGTTGTAATTATCAGCGGGACTGCAGTCCAGCTCGATGCCTGCATCCGTGGTTCTGTCGTTTGTAAGTAGTCGGTGTGGCAGGGTTTCACATGGGTCCACGGTGGTAAGTTGTCATCTTGCTGCTTTACTGCACATCTTTCACAAGTGGGCAAATACACATTACAAGTCGGTTGAAGCACAGGCCTGTGCATGTTGGTTTTACAGGTGGTAGGCTTTTAATCCGATTCGATAGAGGGTTGGGATTTCAAGATCAATGGGTACCACGAACCTTAAGCAAAAACCCTGAACCCTGCCCGAGCATCGCAAGCCCAACCGGAAGTGAGGATGGTTTGCTGGGTCGCGCCCTACGACGATGCTCGGCACTGACCAAGATGTCGGCTGGGACTTTACCTAGAGGGTCATACCCTACCCCTTTTTTAGGGTACCTAATTTTATGGTTAGGATCTCCTATATAGAAAAGTAGGTACCTTAAAAAAGGGGTAGGGTATGAGCCTACATAGGTAGAGTGCAGGACGAGAGTTATGTTGAAGCTTCGGCCTACCCTACAGACTGCCAGGAGCCAACCTGGGGATGTCGTGTTGTCCTGTTACTTATTTCTGTTAGTCATTTGTATACTGTTCTCGTCGATCATAAAAACCGAAACCGATTCCAGCTGCTTTGGTCCTTTGCCTACAGCCGAGAGAATTCTCCAATTTGTGTTGTTGATGCCCCACTTTGCAGTGTTTGTTCCGTTTAATGCCTTGATACATTCTGGAGTCTTGGGGCAAGGCTCGTAAAAAAAAAACAAAACAGTTATATACAGCTTGACGTCTGATTTTCTCAATGAGTGCCGCAACTCTCAGGTGTCGGGTGCCAGACGGCCTTTGAAGTCTTAAGCTTTGCACTTAGCTTCGCTTTTGGGTGGGCTCTCTTAAATCGGCTGGTCACTATCAGGGGCCTGAGCCGTAAGTGTCCGTGTACTTCTTCACTATCAGCGGCCTGAACCTAAAGCCTCAAGTGTCCGCGTACTTGTCTAGTAAATACTTTTATATAGGTTTGAGCGGGCTTCTCATACACGTGCTTGAGGGTCCAAGTATACACTATCCGGCTACATGGACCCTTGGGGCCAATGTGGCTCTGTTCATTTTGGGCTCTACAGGGTTTCTTCAATCAGGTCTCCTACCAGGAGATAAGACCTTGATTCTTAAACCCCAAATCGTCGAGTCGAGGTTCTGGACCTCGGCGAACGGAAAAGGGACGTCTAAAAGAAAATCAAATCGTGTGCCCAGTCTGATGGCAACATCCTCTACGACACTGACTGGACGGAGACCTGCGCCAACATCACGGACGGCGCGCAGACTCAGTCAGAGTTGTGGCCGACGGTTTCTGGAATCCGCTTGCTATGTAATGAGTTTATGGGTTGGGGCAAGTTGTTTGTCTCTTGTTTTAGGGTGGTGGTATTCATCTTCTCGGTAAGGGGCGCTCAGACTTCAGCAGGAATGTCGGTGAGCATGGAATTTCAGTGTTCTGTCAGGAGATCAGAAACAAAGTCAGTGCCCCAAACCCTAAACCCTTCACACGCACCGATGTCTGAATCCCCTAAACCCTAAACCCTAAACCGTGAATGACCAGAAGTCGAACCTCAAGTCTCCTCTATGATTCTCATTCCCAAGACTGCCACCGCTTCACTCCCGAACTCAGACTTGTTGCAGGCAGCCCAGCGTCTGTGGTTCCAAAAAGCTTCCCTGCTATTCATGCAACCCTACATAGTGGTATAAAAACCCCTGGGTAACCCAAGAAAGGCACCCCTTTGTAAGAGCCCCTAAACCCTAAACCCTAAACCCTAAACCCTCCCCCCCCTCAAAACAAAAAGCCCTCAGCGAAGCCTTGAGCTCGAACACAAAGAGTCCAGCCGTCTTCGACAACCGGAAATTTAGACCCAAAATCCTACACCGAAGATTTGGACCTTTACATGGAAGCCCTTCTTATCCCTAGTATGGCGATGGTTTATATAGAGGATTTAGGGGTTTCAGAGGTCAAGGTTTAGGACTAGGGGCTATGTTCAATGATTGAAGCCCCATAATGGATCCCTGAACAACCCTGCAACACCCTTTATAAAGACCAGAACGGCTTCATGCTATGAAGACTTTCTATTGTCATATTCTCCTTGGTTCGGCCCCGAGACATCTTCAAACGCCCGACACTTCCTGCGAGGCTGCCCGTGCAACGCACAATGGGAAAGACAGTGCACCAGCCACTTGGCTTGTTCTTTGGGTTTAGGCTTCATATTAGGGTTTCGGGCGGAAGGGTTTGGTTTCGACTTTGAAAATTTGGGTTTGCATGCGATTTAGAGTTTGGCGTTTGGGATTTGCTCTTTGGTGCCAGGGTGGCTTTATACATGTTTTAGAGTTTATTCCTTACCATCCAACAGCTTCCAACCCCCCCTCGAACCTCTTTATTCCAGGCAACGTGGACGGTCGGGATTTCAGGTTGCCAATTCCTGTGTTCTTCTGGTTTTCCTGTGCTTGGAGGTGTGTACCTAGACCCCCCAAAGTAGGCAAAATAATGGCCAAAAACCTACAGACGGCTCTTATTCTACATACTTTTGGGGTTAAAAGGTCTACAGCAGTCTCGGTGTACAGGGGGTTTACTGGGGCATGGGCCTTTACAGGATGCAAGGCTAGTGTTTTGAGGAGATACCTTAAGGCACCGGAACCTATACAGTTTTTTTGCAGGGTCCCTATAAAGTCATATTAGGGTTTATTACAGGAACCTACCAAAAAAGAAGGGTGTGGTAGGTTAAGGTAGATTTTAAGCACAGGTTGATGTTGTTGTTTGAATCCTGCTCTGCCCACTCTCCGTCATTCTCTCCCTCTACTTGGAGCGTGAAGCTTTCGACGCTGGCTTAAGGATTCAGGGCTTAGGGCTCAGGGATTAGGGTTTAGAGTTGTTAAACCCCTGGACCCTGAACCCTGGGAGAAAACCTAAACCCTGAAAACCCTAGACCCTAAACCGTAAACCTTAACTTAAGGGCTCAGGGTTCCCCAGACCCCCGGGAGGATCTGAAAAGTAGATCCCCCAATTTGGGACCCCAGCCCCTAGCTTCTGCAGGGCATTTTATTTGAACCCCTTTAAGAGATCTACTTATTGGATCCTCCCGGGGGCCTGGCTCGGCACTTAGAAGAAATCCCCCCCGGAACGAGGCCATGGCTACACATACTGCGAGTCGATCTTCGGCAGCTGCATCTCGATGTGAAGTCGGGTTGAGAGTTTAGGGTTTTGGGTTTAGTAGTTCGGGGGTTCGGGGGTTCAGGGTTGAGGATTAGGGTTCGGGGGTTGTGGGGTTTTGGGTTTAGGGGTTCGGGGGTTCAGGGTTGACGATTGGGGTTTAGGGTTGTGGGTTTTGGAGCTTTTGGTGGGGGGTCAGGGCTCCTTTTGGAGTAGTGGTGGTCTTATGTAGGAATGTTGATGTTCCCCTTAGAGCCCAAAACCCTAAGCCCTTCCTGCCAAGGGCTTTGGCTTCCCTTTTTGCGCCCCAATCCCGGAGACTCCGTCGCTGGGGCTTAGGGCGCAGTGCCTAACCCGAGCCTTAGACTTGGACCCTAAGCGCCACCGCTTAAACTTTAAGACTTTAAGCCCCTAGAGGCTGTACCCAGAGGCCACATAGTAGTTCCTTTTTGGGATTACTTTGTAGGATTCTGTATATGAGCCCCAAATAAAGGAACTGCTTTGGGGTCTTTGGGACCCTGACCCCTAAACCAGAGTCGTTTTGGGAGTTCCCGGTGGTTCAATGAACGGAGCCGAAGTTGAAGCCTCAACGCCCTGCGCCTCAAAAGCCTAAACCTTAAACCCGGAATTCTGTATAGTTGGCCTGGTCTCCTGGCCCATGGGGCCTTGATGTAGCAAAACCTGGATTGCAGGCATCAAAAAGGAGCTCAAAAACAACCGGAATCCTAAATCGACACCCTAAACCCTAAACCCTAACCTTAGTGCAATCCTCTGAAGATGGAGACCTGTCGCTGCGGAGAAAGGTCATTGCATTTAATACAAAACCCTAGACAGTACCCTGAGGCATCCCCAGTTGATGGAGTTTGTTTATCCGGATAGTCTTCCGGGCACTCGTTTGGTAGAGGGTCTTGTCTTTTTTGGTTTCGGGTTTAAGGAGTTGAAGCAAGACCTATCACCCTCAAAATCAGAAAAAGCAACCTGTAAGCCTCTAAAAGACGACCCGACAGCAAAACTCCATCGAGGGCATGAGACGACAGGACGCGTAAAGAAACCCTTAACGTACCCGCATGGTAACCCTACACCTTGATCCATCCTAAACCAGAGAGTTTGAAAGCTTCAGTTCAAGCGCCGGAAGCACTGAAATACAAGAAGTGGGCCTACCCAGAGGCCCCAAAGTAGTTCCTTTTTGGGATTACCTTATAGAACTCTATATATGAACCCCAAAAAGGAACTACTTAGGGGCCTTAGGGTAGCAACGAACTGTTGCGGAGCCAGATCACCGGAGGCCCTGTCGATTGCGGAAACTTCGACACGTGCTACCACTACGGCTCAGGCAGGCATAGTATAAGGGCCTTACTAATTAGACTAGGGTTTAGGGGTATATAAATATAAGTCTAAGCATAAGTGTTTATATATATATATATACATATATTAGGCTTTAAAGGGCTTGGGATTCAACACATTTCGAGCTCAAGGCCTCAGACAACAAGCTTTTCGGAGTCTGGCTTTTGGGGTTGCTGTTTCAGGCTTCCAATTCACAGGCCCTCGCAATCTCCAGACCTCAAATCCTAGACCCAGTTGAGGATGTCCCTGCCCTACACAGCAGAAACTGCCCTGCGCCTGGTACTCGTGTCAGTGGTCGTGGCAATGTTGGAGGGGTCTGAGTCGGGGTTGCCGACGACGAACAAATCCTTGCAGTGGGGACATGGTGAGGATGGTTTTAGTGGTGATGGCAGTGGCGGCGGTCGTCGTGGTAGTTAGAATCAACAGCTGAGGAACTGATTCTTGAAAGGACTGGTTCTCGACTGTGGAGGCTCTGAAGCGGCGTCTGTGGCGGGGGTGTGGAGGAAGCAGGCGCAGAGCATTCCCCTCCTCCAGTAACTCAGCAACGATGGCGATGCCATGTGATATGATGGTGTTGTTTTGTGTCGTGTTGGATGACTGAAAGAGAATTGTCTAGTCGCCGACATGACCACTACCTTTGGACTTTGGAAGCAAGAGCAAAAGGTCACTAGGCGTAGCAGGGAGCAAGCCAAGCGTCCTCAAGTCCCGACGAACCCAAAGGGTCCAATGTACCGATATAGTAGAATGTAGGGTTTCCATATTAGGAATTACCATTATGACTTAGGGAAGTATCCCCCATAACTATACATAGGACCCATTGGGGAAGCCAATCTGGGCTGCCGGTGCAGGAAACGAGTCTTGTGCGACCTCTTCTGGCTGCGTCTGCGAGTCGGACGAGATCAGCTGTAACAATCCGGACCGGGAAGGGGACGTTTGCTTGTTGCTCATTCGCTATGCCTTCTTCATGTTTATGATGATGTCTATAAACCGTGGTACCATATATATATATATATGTATATAGATGTGCGTGTGTGTTTATGTTTATATGTATCGTGTGTTTCATGGTGCGTAGGTTTCAAGAGAGTGCCACCACCCCCCCGCAAAAAGACAGCACTGTGAAGCAAAAAAGGGGCTCACTCGGCTATGTAAAGCGGACTCTCCGGTAATGCCCATGTGGTACAAGTGCACCTATTACCCAGCCGATACCGGCGAGCCTCGCAAAATCGCAAACAGAGCACTCCTGCGTCTTCGGAACACACAGAGTTGTCTTTTTGTTGCTTTGCTCATGCCTTTTCAAAAATCGTCGAACTCCTTATTTGTGGCAGGACACTGGCCTTGCTGAATGCTACCCATCAGCTCCTCGGCTAACACAGGCGCAAGGCAAAGAGGCCATGGCAGCAACCGTTTCGGGTTTAGGGTTTAGGGGCTTATGGTTTAGCTGTTTAGGGTTTAGGGGTTTATGGCTTAGCTGTTTAGGGTTTAGGGTTTAGGGTTTATTTATGGCTCATTTGTTTAGGGTTTAGGGGTTTAGTGTTTAGCTGTTTTTAGCTCACGTTTCAAGGTTCAGCTTCGAAGTTTCCACGTTTATGGTAGCCTCCAGGTAACTCGCGGGTCTGAACTGAAAGAAGACCTGTCTAGCCCTGTTGTAAAGTTGTCTCAGGTAACATAACGATTCTACAGTAGAAGCCTAAAAGTTGGAAACCCCATAGCCTCAATCCTTAAGAGTAATATAGAGGGAATCCCAGCACTATTTGGCCGTAATCCGGTTTCCAACTTTATGGAGTCTACTATAAGCCAGTGTGATTATATATATTCAGGCCCTTATACCGCATTGGGTCGCCATTGTCATTGTACTAAACCCCAAACCCATATAGAACCCTTCTGGATTCCTGAAAGGAACCCTTATGGTACCCTTAAAGGAATACTATTTCAGCACATGGCCTAAACCCTAAGGACCAATCCCTAAACCCTACACCCTACACCCTAAACCCAACCCCCTAAACCCCAAGCCCCACCGGCACCCACCCCAACTACCCTCGATTATACCCTGAGTACCAACTATTAAGGACCATAAGGGCTCTATCAAAAGGTACTTGGGAGATGCTGGCAAACCCTTAAACCCCAAACCCCTAAGCCCTAAAACCTTAAAACCCCTAAACCCTAAACCCTCGCTGAGGAGTGGTACCCCTCGGGCTGCCCTGTCTTCTGTGCGCACGACGAGATGTACTGCTCGGTGCCGCCTGGGATGGTTGACGGTGTTTCTTCGGTTTCGGGCACTCCGTTTCCGTGCGTGTATGTATATGGATGTGTGTACTAATATATAAATATATATATATATACTTATGTGTGTATATATATATATATGTATATGTATATGTATATATATATATATATATATATATATATATATACATATATATATATATATATATACACATGTATGTATATGTGTATATATTGTATACATGTATATATCTATGTGTGTATGTGTATATATGGTGCCGTGTTTCGTGTTATATAATATGGTAGCCCCCCCCCCCCCCCCCCCCCCCGACCCCAGCCCCCATGGTATGGTCCCCCATGGTATACACCCGAAATCCTCGTGAGGGTCGTCGCTGTTGTCTGAAAAGTGCCAACAGTCACAGGCATGGCCCCCGAACCGCGATCTTCGTGAGTGTTGTGGCTTTTCCCAAAGGGTCCCATGTACCGATATACTAGAATGTAGGGTTTCCATATTAGGAATTACTATTATGACTTAGGGAAGTATCCCCCAGAACAGTACAGAGGATCCTTTGGGTTTGAAACTATGCACCTTCGTGGCGTGTCCAAACGGGCGACACTCACCTGGATGGGCCATGGTTTCGGTCTGCACCGCGCTCAGCTTCTGACCCTCAACCGCAAACCCGACCACAGGGAGGGGGGAAGGGGGGTAAACATTAACCCTGAATCCCACAACCCACCACCACGGCAAACCGCACCACACCACACTACAGAGTGGGAGAAGCGGGGTTAAATAACCCAAAACCCACCACTGCACCACAGGTGACGACAGGGGTTGTTTAGGCCGGGAGAATCGAAATGTGTGGGTATAAGGGACCATGACCATGGGTGGGGGGGAGAGGGGGCAACACCACACCATACATACATGTATGTCTGTATGTATCTATGTATCTATGCATGTATTGCGGGAGTGCTCTTTGCTTTCCTCATAAGCAGCAGTCAGCCTTGGCATCTGCTGTGTACAGCCACATCACAGGACGACTACGGATCCTTCTTGCTTAGACCGTCAGTGTATGCCACGAAAAGTTAGTCAAAGTCTGAAGGTTTCACCTGTCGAGACAGCCTGCGCTGCCTGTGGTTCCCGGCCATCCAACAGTCGACGAACAAGGGAATGATCTCCTACTATAGGGGCCTTAAACGAACTACCCATACTGTTTTGGGGGTTCCTTTAGAATATGTATAGTAGAGTGGGCCCCAGAAACCTAAAGGCTCCTACATTAGGGCTTCGCGTTGTTCTGTTTTAGTTCCTTAGCTGTCCCTATATTGACACTGCTGATGGACAAAATCCTGCATGACCCTAAGGACTCTAAACTATGGGAACTATGGTATATTCCTTAGAAAGGGTAATGCAGGATTTTGTCCATCAGCAGTATGATGACGATGATTGTATTCAGGAACCCCAGCACCTGAGTCATCCGAGTTTGGACTTGTTTCAGCTTCCTCACCGGTCGACGTCCCGCCACAAAGACAATCCTGAATGACGGGAAGAGTTGGGAGGTGGTCTCCTTCGATAGCAACGGCTACATGCAGCTGGATGGCAAGATGAGCCCTGAAACATACGCCAAGTAGTCCCAAACATTTGTGGTCGCAGAGGGGATGCTTAGATTTCAGTTGTTTCAGAGCTCTGGGTTCAAGGCCATCGACGACTAAAGTGACTATGCGGGTCAAAATACTTCACTATGATGCCCCGAATGACTCTTCATAGTTCATAATCACTAATACCCCAGAATACTTCATTATGATGCCCTGAATGACTCTTGATAGTTCACACAGAACCCCATTCTAATTGCTGATGCCCCTGATAGCTCGACTCCCAGAACTTTTCCTATAATTGCAGAGCTTAGACCGTAAACTTGACTCATTGCAAACGCTCGCGCCGGGCCCAAAGCCGCGAAGGAGCACTTGATGTAGGTGACTTATGATGTCCGGATCCTGTGAAGTCAGCTGTTTCTGCTGTTGCCATCTGGTCCCGGCAGTTGCTTTTCGTTTTATAGCCATATTCCACGGCTTTAGGCCATTGAGGTGCTGGGGCGTTGGTGGCGTCTGGAGATCATTCCCGGACGGGTTCGACTCGTATTATACATCAAGTTCTACAAATATATTCCGATTGGGACCCTACAAGAAAGTATGTTGAGGTGGTTCAAGGTATGTAGCCCCTAGGTTGTCTCTTTCATGCTTCGAGCTTGAATCACCCTCAGCTCCGAAGCTGAACCCCCACCCCCCCCCTCCCCCCCCCCACCCCCACACCGCATGATGAAAGCCCGCACCCTGCCCAACGAGGCTTTCGGGTTTGAGGGTCTGCAGGTTCGGGTTTAGGGCTTATGAAACTGGGACCCTAAATTTGAAGCCTTGAACCCTATAATCCCTAAACCTTAAGACCTCACCCCAAACCCTCATCCCTAAACCGTAAACCCTGAACCCTAAGCCCAACCGCAGGCTGTGGCAGGACTATTGCCTGAACGGAGAGGCAAACAACTGGTGGTGCCCGGTGACCTGCGACAACACCACCGCGCAGAAGCTGCTGCCTCAGGGTTTCTTTGGTTTGGGGTTTCGGGTTTAGGGTTAAGGACCCCAAAAAGCACATAAGCCTAAGATTTTTTGGGGATATCCCTACTTGATGGTACTTCATTGTAAGGGGGTTTGTATGGGATGTCCTTATCCTAAGTTTTGCTTCTGTGCTTTTGGGGGGCCCAAAAGGCCTGGGGTCCTACCAGACTGTCCGGCCGGGATGCTACTGTCCCAAAGGGTCCTATGCACTGTTATGGGGAATACCTCCGCAAATCATACTAGTAATTCCTAACATAGAAACCCTACATTCTACTATATCGGTACTTTGGACCCTTAAGGGGTGTAGATGCAGCAGTAGAGGTGAGTAGAGTTTGGGGTTTTGGAGCCCAGGGTCCAGGGTGTATAGGGTTTAGGGTTTAGGGTTTAGGGGTTTAGGGTTTAGGGTTTAGGGTTTAGGGTTTAGGGTTTAGGTTTTAGGGTTTAGGGTTTAGGGTTTAGGGTTTAGGGTTTAGGGTTTAGGGTTTAGGGTTTAGGTTTTAGGGTTTAGGGTTTAGGGTTTAGGGTTTAGGGTTTAGGGTTTGTAGCTTTTGCGGTGTAGAGTGTTGCGTTTGATGGTTGTGAGTGAATGTTAGGGCACGTGGGAGTTTCCGAAAATAGGGGACCCCAATATAGTACCCTAAATAGTAGGATCCCTATTATGAGGACCCCATGATAAGGTACCCCTAATTTTCGGAAACTCCTACGTAGGATTCGGGATTCGGGTTTGTTCAAGACGTGCAGCTCAATTTACAGCAGGAGCATGTTTAGGTTGGGACGGGAATCTATTCCGTAGGGTGCCTTAATTACCCAGACCTTCCAAAATCCCTCAAATAAGGAATATACCTGAAACTATAATAGGTTCCCTAATATGATTTAAGGTATATTCCTTAATCAAGGGATTTTGGAAGGTTTGGGTACGGCTATACTAGTATAATAATTCCGTAGGGTGCCTTAATTACAACTATACTAGTATAATATATTCCGAAGCAATTTTCAACGTACTCAGTGCCCTGCATTGTTACATTTAACCCCCAGGGTAAAACAAGACCGCTGTGCTTCTTCCGAGATGGTTGCCAACCGCTTGTGGCCTGGTCGAGCAGAGCTTCGGTATCCTTCCAGGGTTTCGTCAAGCTTAACAGCCAATGCGGCGAAGCCGTAGGTCTTGCTGCACTTCAATCGGGCAGAAACTATCCTTAGCTTTAGCTTAAGTGATTCGAAACGGTTACAGTACTGGATCCAAGAAAAGCCTACACATACCCTGTGTGTGTATGGCCCAAGTACATCTTCATGATAAAAACCCTAAGCCTGCAACCTAGTCCGCAGCCGCCCCCAGGTGCGGCACACCCGGTGCTTTTGACGAACACTGCGTGTCTCTGTCGGACGGCTGACTGGGTTTGGGGGGTTACAGTCGGTGTTTGCTTGGTGTCTAGGGCTGAGGATGTTTTGGGCGCAGGTTGTGTTAGTTTGAGTGTCTTCAGGTCCAGCAGGCTTCCACAGCCTGTGACAGCTTCGACGCTCAAAGAGGAATGCTCCTTACGCTTAAAGTGTGGCAAGTGCTGCCCCCAGCGAAGATCTTGCCCCAGATGCCCGCATTTCACAAGTCGTAGGGCCTCAAGCCCCAGGCACTCGTTGTCCTGAAACCGCCATGCTGCAGTGAAGGAGACTTGCCCGGTCAGCTGCACTGAGCAATACTGCTGGGCAGCGTCTTGGTCGCAGCCGGGAGCATCTAGAAAGTAGATCCCCTAATTTGGGGCCCTATACTACTAAGGGTACTTCATAGGAACCCAGTTGTTTGATGTCTGTTGAGTCGAAGTCAGACAGCATGCATGCGAGAGGATCCAGCATGCAGGGTTCAACATGAGAGTTTCCGAAAATAGGGGACCCTAATATAGCACCCTGCATAGTAACTTAGTAGGATCCTTTTTATAATCGCTCCCAAAATTAATTTTCGGAACTTCAACATACTGGCACTGGGGTTAGGCGCCATTCCAAGTCTGGAACCCCTGGGTGTTCAAGTGCTTTGGGCAGGACTCGGGATGTTCAGGGAATGTGGCGTTGAACTTGCCTCCTACAAATAGAAGTACAACTATGGCCAGCGGGGACCCGGTGTCTATGATGTTAGTAAGAAGGCACAGCCCAAACTACCAAAGTAGGTAGAATGGAGTTGATTTTGTTTCACCTGAACCACTCAGAAGGACCAGCATCAGTAGATGTTGCGGCTCCATGCAACAAAACAATTGGGCTTTTACTCCCCAACCGACGGCAGACAGTCAGCCCCAAACCCAAGGGCCCAAGATACAAAACATTCAACCACGAGGACAATTATGCAAGCAACGGCGATTGGATCGACAGTGCCGAAAGCTGTGCCTTGGGATGCCCTACCGTGTAAGGCTTACTGTTGCACGTGGGGCTAGATGGGGAGGGGGCGAGCCCTAATGCTCATATACTGAAATCAGAGCGAGGAGCTTCACAACAGCAGGTGGGGTTTAGGACCAGGAATTCAATAGCTCGGGTTGCTGTTTCATGCGCAACAATAAGACAAGGGGCATCAAGGCACGGGCAAGAACCAATGGGTGGCGTTTGCTAATCTGCTCGTGCGCCATCGTACAGCATGGTGCAAACAGTGTCATTCCGTCCGGTTCAATGCTTCTTGGGCGTCCCACAACTGCTGGTTTGACAGCGTAGATGTTTGTGTCCCATGAAAACGAAAAAGAGCACCTTCCGGGCGGCTGATGTGGCTGCTCAATACAACAAGATGTTGCATTCACAGCAGCAGCTATAAAGAGAACCGCTGCGAATGTCTGCGCCCGCGAGACTGCAAAACACAACTGAGGCGCAGGCTGGGGAGAAGATTGCCCGTGCGGGGACAATGCTGCCGCCAGGTTGCACTAAGTTCTTGGCGAACATCCCCCGAACGCTAAACCCTAACTGTTAACTTCAGATCCAAGACATGACATGATAACCTTCGGCTGCTGGCAGCAATCACCATGAACGAGACAGTCACAGCCAGAATAAGTTCGTGCGTTGTTGATATAGACATGAGGGTTTCGGCTTTTGGCTTTCAAGTTCTAGGAGATCTGACGCCACGCCCGGCAGGATTTAGGGCTTTTACGGCGTTAGGTTTTTGGACTGAGCTTTTAGTGTTTAGATGTTGAGGCTCAGAGTTTCATTGCAAACGTGGCACCTAAACCAAACCCACCCTCACCACCTAAACCCTCAACCCCAAACTCTAAACCCCTAAACCCTTAAACCATATATACGCCCCCCTCAACCCTAAACCCTAAACCCCTAAACCCTTAAACCATATATACACCCCTCAACCCCAAACCCTCAACTCAACTCTCAGACTTTAGCCGGGGGGCTTCGGGCAGGTCCGATGCAACGATCCTTTCTTCGGCTATTCGTACTGCACCCCCGCGCCCTGGCCGGAGCATCTTCCGATAGTCAAAGGGGAGAAGGAGGGACCCTTAATGAACACCCCTACCCTATGATGGGCTATATAATGGCTATATTATGGGTATATACCTAGGGGTCCTTGTTAGGGGTCCCTCCTTTTACCCTTTCCGATAGGGTCAGTTTCCGTTCTGGAAGCACTATGGTAACTATGGTAGGCATATGGAGGAATGTTGGCAGATGGCATACAACACCACCAACACCACCAACACCAGCGCCGGCGCTCGCACTCGCTACAAATTATCGTTGCGAGTATCATTATTGCTACTAAGCTACTACTACTACTACTACTACTACTACTACTACTACTACTACTACTACTACCACTACCACTACCACTACCACTACCACTACCACTACCACTACCACTACCACTACCACTACCACTACCACTACCACTACCACTACCACTACCACTACCACTACCACTACCACTACCACTACCACTACCACTACCACTACCACTACCACTACCACTACCACTACCACTACCACTACCACTACCACCACCACTACCACTACCACTACCACGACGACGACTACTACTACTAGAATTATTTCTGTTTTCAGTATTTTCAGACTGTGAGCGATCGAGAGACAGTTCTGGAGAACTGTGAGTGTAAATACTTGCTTCTCCGACATGAATAAGTCGTCGGCTTTTGCTTTGGGACAGTGTGCAGAACAAGAAGCATTGCGGGCTCGTGACCCCTAAATTTACTAAGCCCTTGACCCCAATGCCCCATCCAAGCTGTTTTGTTAAGGCAGTCACAGCTTGGTGCGTAGCGTCTTACGGAGGTGTTTCGTGTTGTGGTGAAACGGCTTCGCATTCAGGGTAAACCCTAAATCCTGCACCCTAAATACAGGGCACCCTAAACCCTGAACATCACTGAACTCTATGAGTCTCGCCGACTCGCCGCTGAGACCGCTTACGGCTGCCCGCTTGTCTGCGACCCCGTGAAGGAGAAGACCTGCTACCCCATCTCATTCACTCCGGAGGGCGCCATGGCAGAAATGGGTTTTCAGAGTTTGGTTCGGGGTTGTGCAATACTGTTGAGGGATTTAGGGTTTGGTTTCTTTGGTGAAAGCAGCCCAAACCAAACACCGGAAGTTTCAGCACCCAAGCCTTAACTACACTTTTCAACCCCCAGCCTTCTATACTATACATGCGCTGGCGTGGATAGATGGTTGATGGTGTTTAGGGTTTAGGGGTTTGGCGTTGTTGCTCCAGGTGTTTGGATTCCTCATACCACGGCTCGAAGCTTGTACTTAAAGGCTCATGGGACTTAGCAAGTAAGGTTATAAGTAGGTTATAATTAGGATAACCCCACTTAGGGGACTTATAACCCCAGTTATAACCTACTTACTAAGTCCCATGATCCTCTAAGTAATTAAGAAGCTCGGTGAGCCGAACGGGAGCATTCTCTCCACCGCACGCCCTCCGCACCAAGCTCAATGAACCCAAAGGCCCCAAAGTAGTTCCGTCTTGGGGCGGTTTAGGGTTTAGGGTTTAGGGTACCAAAGTAGTTCCGTCTTGGGGTTCATATATAGAATCCTATAAGTTGCCATAGTCGGGAAGCCCACGCCCGAAACGGCTAAAGCTTCAAGAAGTTTGGGCTTCAGAGCTTCGGGTCTAGTACAACCACAGCAATCTAGGGACAACGACACAAACTGATCGTTTACCACAGGTCCGAACAAGTTGCCCCGCTCTGGTGACATGGGAATGCCTTCTAGTTTCGGTAGCTCTTCATAGCACAAGATATACCAAAACCTCCTTCGAAACCGAGTCTTCCTTAACCCGAATCCCGAATATCCCGATCTTCCGGGTCCCGACCCCCAGAACCCTCAACCCCCCAACCCTACTGTTGATGATATAAATCCTGCATGACCCATAATAAGGAATAGACCATAGTTCCCATAGTTTAGGGTCCTTAAGGTAGTGCAGGGTTTATATCATCAACCATAGTCCATCAACTTGGGTCTCTTATAGACCCCTTTAAAGGAACCCTAGGAACCCTATTTGTAACAAGGAACCATTTCCTTCTAGACCCCTTTAAAGGAAATCATCAACCGTAACCCCTGAACTCGGGGGTCGGAGTTCGGATTTGGGAGTGCGCGCTGCAGCTCAGGCGAGCAAGACTGGAATGCACCCGTGAACGAGAGCTGCCAGAATGTTTCGCAGCGCCTCAGCGGAACTTTCATGCTGTCGAGGCTTACCCAGAGGCCCCAAAGTAGTTCCTTTTTGGGATTACCTTATAGGGTTCTATGTATGAACCCCAAAAAGGAACTACTTTGGGGCCTTTGGGTAGCATGGTAGAAGTATACCCCAGCTTCCACTTAGGCGGGAAGCCTGGTCACTTGTCCCTAAACCAAAAGCTGCTCTAAACCTAAGCCCTACACTTCAAGCCTTTTTCTCGAAGATCCAACAACTTACGACCTGAAGAGCGCAGACAAAGATCCGAAATGTAAATTAACCCTTATGGCAGTCCTTCTTCTTACTACTGTTACTCTTACTGTACTTTTGCTCTGATGAGTACTGCTAGTGCCATTATATACTATTACTATTACTATTGCGAATATTACTATGAATGTTCTCCTTATTGCAGTTTTTATTACTATCGTTGTTATGGCAACCCACACATGTGGGTGGTTGTCAATATTAGGGTCCCTTTTTGGGTCCTTATTATAATACGGCACCTAATATTTAGGGTACCCCAACAGGGCCATAAATTTGACAACTACCCATATGAGGGCCTGAAGAATTACCTCTACTATTCTAGAGGCTATTAATATTCTCCTCATTGCAGTTTTCATTACTATCGTTGTTATGGCAGCCCAAACTAAACCCTAAACCCTAAACCCTAAACCCTAAACCCTAACAAGCATATGCCACGCTTCTTCCGCCAGGACTTGCCCTTGCGGCGCCAAT